CCATATCCACACTCAGTATGTTCTCACACTCCATCTACCCCCATATCCACACTCAGTATGTTCTCACACTCCCTGTACCCCTCATATCCACACTCAGTATGTTCTCACACTCCCTGTATGCCCATATCCACACTCAGTATGTTCTCACACTCCCTGTATGCCCATATCCACACTCAGTATGTTCTCACACTCCCTGTATGCCCATATCCACACTCAGTATGTTCTCACACTCCCTGTATGCCCATATCCACACTCAGTATGTTCTCACACTCCCTGTATGCCCATATCCACACTCAGTATGTTCTCACACTCCCTGTATGCCCATAGCCACACTCAGTATGTCCTCACACTCCCTGTACCCCCGTATCCACACTCAGTATGTTCTCATACTCCCTCTACCTCCAAACCCACACTCAGTATGTTCTCACACTCCCTGTACCCCCATAGCCACACTCAGTATGTTCTCACACTCCCTGTAATGCCATATCCACACTCCGTATGTCCTCACACTCCCTGTACGTCCATATCCACACTCAGTATGTTCTCACACTCCATCTACCCCCATATCCACACTCCGTATGTTCTCACACTCCTTGTACCCCTATATCCACACGCCGTATGTCCTCACACTCCCCATATCCCCATATACACACTCCGTATGTTCTCATACTCCCTCTACCTCCATATCCACACTATGTTCTCATATCCCCTCTACCTCCATACCCCCACTCAGTATGTTCTCACAAGCTCTCTACCTTCATATCCACACGCCGTATGTCCTCACACTCCCTGTACCCCCGTATCCACACTCAGTATGTCCTCACACTCCCTCTACCTTCATATCCACACTCCGTATGTCCTCACACTCCCTGTACCCCCGTATCCACACTCAGTATGTTCTCACACTCTCTGTAATGCCATATCCACACTCAGTATGTTCTCACACTCCCTGTAATGCCATATCCACACTCAGTATGTTCTCACACTCCATCTACCCCCATATCCACACTCAGTATGTTCTCACACTCCCTGTACCCCTCATATCCACACTCAGTATGTTCTCACACTCCCTGTATGCCCATATCCACACTCAGTATGTTCTCACACTCCCTGTATGCCCATATCCACACTCAGTATGTTCTCACACTCCCTGTATGCCCATATCCACACTCAGTATGTTTTCACACTCCCTGTATGCCCATAGCCACACTCAGTATGTCCTCACACTCCCTGTACCGCCGTATCCACACTCAGTATGTTCTCATACTCCCTCTACCTCCAAACCCACACTCAGTATGTTCTCACACTCCCTGAACCCCCATAGCCACACTCAGTATGTTCTCACACTCCCTGTAATGCCATATCCACACTCCGTATGTCCTCACACTCCCTGTACGTCCATATCCACACTCAGTATGTTCTCACACTCCCTCTACCCCCATATCCACACTCCGTATGTTCTCACACTCCTTGTACCCCTATATCCACACGCCGTATGTCCTCACACTCCCCGTATCCCCATATACACACTCCGTATGTTCTCATACTCCCTCTACCTCCAAACCCACACGCCGTATGTCCTCACACTCCCGTATCCCAATATACACACTCCGTATGTTCTCACACTCTCGGTATCCCCATATCCACACTCAGCATGTCCTAACACTCCCTGTACCCCCCATATTCGCACTCAGTATGTTCTCACACTCCCTGTACCCCCCATATTCACACTCAGTTTGTTCTCACACTCCCTGGACCCCCCATATCCACACTCCGTATATCCTGACACACCCTGTACCCCTGCATCTTTTCTCTGTATTCTATCGCACACCCTGTACTTAACCCCTTAAGGACCAAACTTCTGTAATAAAAGGGAATCATGGCATGTCACACATGTCACGTGTCCTTAAGGGGTTAAAGGTATGTGATAAGCCCTGTCTCCCCTATTAATACTCGCCATGATAGAATGATACATATGGTTGTATGATTTATTGTGTCTGTACAGTAACGTGCTTAATGTGCCAAGCTGAGATAGTGAGCAAACTCCACACTGGATAAAAACCCCGTACCCCTTCCCATAGAACAGCATGTATGTGACTCTGCCCATAGCCAATTCATACTGATATCCCGGCATAAGTGTACACAAGGCTGTCTAATGATAGCTATTCACTAACATTTTGCATCAATGCCGTAGCGGTTTAGCACTGGAAATCTGTGAACAGTGTATGCACATGGCTGTATGTCTATATTCATGTATATCTCCAAGCACACAGCGCTATATCTGTACATGTGTGGTTGTATGTCTGTACACGGACGTATATCTGTAAATGCGTGGTGGTATGTCTATGTACAAGGTGGTATATCTGTACATGCCTGGTGGTATGTCTAAGCACACAATGCTATATCTGTACATGCGTGGTGGTATGTCTGCATAGCATAGTCTATCCTCTAGTCTCTGAGCCCTTAGTCTCCAGTGCTGACTGGGAAGCTTTGGGGGTGAGGTGTTGGCTGTCCTGGTGTGGGCAGGTTTTGGCACAGAAATGGTGTCACTGCAATGAACCCATCAACCCAAGAAGACAGACTTCTCCATGCCATCCTCCACTTGTAGGTACTCCAGCTGGGATGGGAAATACTGACTCTCATAGCGTGGGCTAGTTCTCACGTAATGTAGGTATTCAGGGGCTCCAGGGCAGATTACATTATCAGCCAGAAGAACAGAGCCAGGTCGCAGTAAGTCACACTCCTAGGGAGGGGAGAATCATACATAAAACTACAAGTAAAAACACAGTGGAGGATGGCGGACACGTGGAGGTAAAGCTCCACTTCATTATTGTTAAGTGTGGAGGACATGGAGGGGTGAGGCCTTGGTGGACGACACTGGTAGAGGCTGGAGTTTAGGACACTGAGGGATGAGGCTGGGGTGGAGGACACTGAGGGGTGAGGCAGGGGTGGAGGACACAAAGGGGTAAGCTGGGGTGGAGGACACAGAGGGGTGAGGCTGCGGTGGAGAACATGGGGTGGAGGACACTGAGAGGTGAGGCTGGAGTGGAGGACATGGAAAGGTGAGGCTGCGGTGGAGGGGTGACACTGAGGCTTGAGGCTGCGGTGGATTACATGGAGTGGCGAGCCGATGGTGGAAGACACGGAGGGGTGAGGTGGCGGTGGAGTACACAAAGGGGTAAGCTGGGGTGGAGGACACGGAGGGGTGAGGCTGCGGTGGAGAACATGGGGTGGAGGACACAGAGGTGAGGCTGGAGTGGAGGACATGGAGGGGTAAATCTGGGGTGGAGGACATGGAAAGGTGAGGCCGCGGTGGAGGACATGGAGAAGTGAAACTGGGGTGGAGAACAAGGAGGGGTAAAGCTGGGGTGGAGGACACAGGGTTGAGGCTGCGGTGAAGGACAAAGAGGGGTAAAACTGAGGTGGAGGACAAGGAGGGGTAAGACTGCGGTGGAGGACACGGAGAGGTGAGGCTAAGGTGGAGGGCACAGGGGGTATGGTTGGGGTGGAGTACACAGAGAGGTGAGGCTGCGGTGGAGGACATGGAGGGGTGAGGCTGTGATGGAGGACACGGAGGGGTGAGGTTGTGGTTGAAGATGGGAAAAGAAAAGGTGAGGTTTTAGATGGATAGATCTATGGAGAATAACATTTCTGACTTACCTCCAGCAGTTTGGTGTCCTTGAGGTAACTGACTTTCCAATGGTCGATAAATACAAAATCAAATGTGTCGATGTCCAACTTCTTCTTCAGCTGAGGGATCAGGTCAGAGGTGGAACCAACCAAGATCTCCACCTGAAGAGTTATGGATGAATCAAAATAGACATCACTTACCTCATTATAGCCTCCCCTGCAGAACACTCACCACCTCACAGCCTCCCCTCGTGTGATCTCATTATCCCCATTATATAGATTCAACAAAACAGTAATAAAAAAACAGAACATTCCAGAACTAACTGTAGTGTGTGTATCACACAAGCAATGCAAAACTGGTATGTAGAAATAAGCAGAGCATTGCCCAATCTAAGCCGCTAGGGGGCAGTCACACACACAAATCATAACATTATACAAAGAGCTGAATAATTCAAACAGTAATTGATAGCAGAGATATAGAAAGGGTAGTAGATACCTGGAATAGCCTTCCAGTGGGAGCAGTAACAGTGATATAGAAAGGGTAGTAGATACCAGGAATACCCTTCCAGTGGGAGCAGTAACAGTGATATAGAAAGGGTAGTAGATACCTGGAATAGCCTTCCAGTGGAAGTATTAAGTGGGATAGGACCAAGGTTAGGGGAAGGGGTGAGTGGATAGGTGATGTCGGCCTCACCTTGCAGGTTTGGAGTTTTCCTGGCTGCTGTCTCTCTGAGCTTCTGTCCCGCGGTAAGGAGGAGCCCAGTGGGTTTGGGGGATTGCGAGAAAATAACTGTAGGGGGAGTTGTAGACAGTGCAGAGTGGTGTAGATTAGCGCCTCTTGAAGGCGCCAACGCCGCTGGGCAGAAGGCTGTTCAGTGCCCTCTGCTGGCTGCTCTCCCTGAGTACAGGAAGGAGAGGGGGAATCGCTAGATATCAGGGTGAGCTATGGGTCAGGAGGTGAAGTGAAGACACAGAAGAGACAGAGTAAGATAGAAGCCTTGGCTAGTTTGGAGCCACCTGCTTTCCTGCCCCGGGGTAGCACGATACCAACCTGCGTGTCCAGTCCCGCATGGTGAAGGATTTTGCGTGCAACCTGAGCATAGTCCGGGTTCATCTCGATGCTGATCAGTCGAGCACCAGGGGGCAACAGCCGGCCCATCCTAACGGTAGAATAGGCACAGTATGTGCCCAGCTCCAGAACATAGCGTGGGCGAGTCTCCAGCACAACTGCGTCCAGGATCTGACCTTTTAGGGACAAGATATTAACTGCGGGTATACTGCCAACAGATGTGAGTAACGCAGATAACGGGGTGACAGCACCTCTTACCTTTCAGGTCCCCCACATTCATGGCCCATTCCACGTTGCTGCAGTATGAGTCCACCGCTGCCAGGACACTCTGAGCATCGCCATGCTCGGCCACTTTCTGCACGTGTCGCAACATCCGGACAGGACGGGTCGTACCGCTCAGGAAATCTTTCAGTTTCTCTAGGTAATTATCATGCCACCACAGTGCCCAAGCACCCTCTGTACGCACCCGCTGTACGACCAACAACAGCAAAAACACCAGCACTGCCCCCAGGCTGAGTGCAACAGACAGCATCGTAGGAGAATCTGGAATACAGGACAGATAGATGGCATGGAATACAGGACAGACAGATGGCATGGAATACAAGACAGACAGCATGGAATACAGGAGAGACAGATGGCATGGAACTCAGGACAGACAGACGGCATGGAATACAGGACAGACAGACGGCATGGAATGCAAGACAGACATCATGGAATACAGGACAGACAGATGGCATGGAATACAGGACAGACAGAAAGCATGGAATACAAGACAGACAGACAGCATGGAATACAAGACAGACAGACGGCATGGAATACAGGACAGACATACGGCATGGAATACAGGACAGACAGATGGCATGGAATACAGGACAGACAGACAGCATGGAATACAAGACAGACAGACGGCATGGAATACAAGACAGACAGACAGCATGGAATACAAGACAGACATACGGCATGGAATACAGGACAGACAGATGGCATGGAATACAAAACAGACAGATGGCATGGAATACAAGACAGACAGACGGCATGGAATAAAAGACAGACAGCATGGAATACAAAACAGACATACGGCATGGAATACAGGACAGACAGATGGCATGGAATACAAAACAGACAGACGGCATGGAATACAGGACAGACAGACGGCATGGAATACAAAACAGACAGACGGCATGGAATACAGGACAGACAGATGGCATGGAATACAAAACAGACAGACGGCATGGAATACAGGACAGACAGACGGCATGGAATACAAGACAGACAGACGGCATGGAATACAGGACAGACAGACGGCATGGAATACAAGCCAGACAGACGGCATGGAATACAGGACAGACAGACAGCATGGAATATAAGACAGACAGACGGCATAGAATACAAGACAGACAGATGGCATGGAATACAGGACAGACAGACGGCATGGAATACAAGACAGACAGACGGCATGGAATACAAGACAGACAGACGGCATGGAATACAGGACAGACAGACAGCCTGGAATACAGGACAGACAAACAGTAATAAGAAGCTGCTGTCTATGAAGAGTTTACATTATGCCTATAATCTCCAGTTTTGTATCTGAACCCCAGTATATCGAGTAAACTCCAACTTCTCTTCCTCCTAAGCAACCTCCACCTGGCTCTGTTACAAGCCCTCTAAACCCTAGTTCTCGCTGCTCTTCCAGCGTGTCAGTGCTGATGTTCTGTTTGTATTGTGCCCTTTTATCTCTGTCTCTCTAAACAAAATCATCTGTTTGTGTCCTCAGCTGTATCCATTCCCAGGCCTTCAATCACAAACACTTGGCCATCACTGAGCCGCAGAATAGACGGCATTCAAAATTAAAAAGGGGAATGGAAAATCTTAGCTGAAAAAATAGGCTGAACACGTGCACTTGTTAATATTAGAGTAAGAACAAAAAAAGACATTGGTTTGTCAGATTTAAAAACATTGCTTTTCTTTTTATCAAACAGAATAGTCCAGGATATAACGGTTAATATATGGGGTGACTGGTTGTTGTCCAAACAGAAATCTGTCTCCCTTTCTGGAGAAAAAAATGATTTTTCTTTTAAACCAAATTGTGGCAAAAATGGAAATTAATTTTTGCTTCTCTTCACTAAAATATACATACACTGTATACCTACTGTACCTCCCTCTACTGTAATGTAACCTGTAAAGTGCTGAGTACACCTGTTAGCGCTATATAAATATAATATACACACACTGTATACCTACTGCACTTACTGTACCTCCCTCTACTGTAATGTAACCTGTAAAGTGCTGAGTACACCTGTTAGCGCTATATAAATAAAATATACACACACTGTATACCTACTGCACTTACTGTACCTCCCTCTACTGTAATGTAACCTGTAAAGTGCTGAGTACACCTATTAGCGCTATATAAATAAAATATACATACACTGTATACCTACTGCACTTACTGTACCTCCCTCTACTGTAATGTAACCTGTAAAGTGCTGAGTACACCTGTTAGCGCTATATAAATATAATATACATACACTGTATACCTACAGCACTTACTGTACTTCCCTCTACTGTAATGTAACCTGTAAAGTGCTGAGTACACCTGTTAGCGCTATATGAATATAATATACATACACTGTATACATAGTGCACTTACTGTACCTCCCTCTACTGTAATGTAACCTGTAAAGTGCTGAGTACACCTGTTAGCGCTATATAAATAAAATTTACATACACTGTATATCTACTGCACTTACTGTACCTCCCTCTACTGTAATGTAACCTGTAAAGTGCTGAGTACACCTGTTAGCGCTATATAAATACTATATACATACACTGTATACCTACTGCACTTACTGTACCTCCCTCTACTGTAATGTAACCTGTAAGTGCTGAGTACACCTGTTAGCGCTATATAAATAAAATATACATACACTGTATACCTACTGCACTTACTGTACCTCCCTCTACTGTAATGTAACCTGTAAAGTGCTGAGAACCCCTGTTAGCGCTATATAAATAAAATATACATACACTGTATACCTACTGCACTTACTGTACCTCCCTCTACTGTAATGTAACCTGTAAAGTGCTGAGTACACCTGTTAGCGCTATCTAAATAAAATATACATACACTGTATACCTACTGAACTTACTGTACCTCCCTCTACTGTAATGTAACCTGTAAAGTGCTGAGTACACCTGTTAGCGCTATATAAATAAAATATACATACACTGTATACCTACTGCACTTACTGTACCTCCCTCAACTGTAATGTAACCTGTAAAGTGCTGAGTGCACCTGTTAGCGCTATATAAATAAAATATACATACACTGTATACCTACTGCACTTACTGTACCTCCCTCTACTGTAATGTTACCTGTAAAGCGCTGAGTACACCTGTTAGTGCTATATAAATACAATATACATACACTGTATACCTACTGCACTTACTGTACCTCCCTCTGCACCAATAATGTAACCTTATAGTATTACTGAGTACACCCATTAGAAACATTTATATAAATATAATATACATACACACCTTATACCTACTGCTGCATCCCTCTGCACAGCAAATGCTTATTTTCGCAGCCCCAGGTACACCTGTTAGCGCTATATAAATAAAATATACATACACTGTATACCTACTGCACTTACTGTACCTCCCTCTACTGTAATGTAACCTGTAAAGTGCTGAATACACCTGTTAGCGCTATATAAATAAAATATACATACACTGTATACCTACTGCACTTACTGTACCTCCCTCTACTGTAATGTAACCTGTAAAGTGCTGAGTACACCCGTTAGCGCTATATAAATAAAATATGCATACACTGTATACCTACTGTACTTACTGTACCTCCCTCTACTGTAATGTAACCTGTAAAGTGCTGAGTACACCTGTTAGCGCTATATAAATAAAATATACATACACTGTATACCTACTGCACTTGCTGTACCTCCCTCTACTGTAATGTAACCTGTAAAGTGCTGAGTACACCTGTTAGCGCTATATAAATACAATATACATACACTGTATACCTACTGCACTGACTGTACCTCCCTCTACTGTAATGTAACCTGTAAAGTGCTGAGTACACCTGTTAGCGCTATATAAATATAATATACACACACTGTATACCTACTGCTCTTACTGTACCTCCCTCTACTGTAATGTAACCTGTAAAGTGCTGAGTACACCTGTTAGCGCTATATAAATAAAATATACATACACTGTATACCTACTGCACTACTGTACCTCCCTCTACTGTAATGTAACCTGTAAGGTGCTGTGTACGCCTGTTAGTGCTATATAAATATAATATACATACACTGTACACCTACTGCACTTACTGTACCTCCATCTACTGTAATGTAACCTGTAAAGTGCTGAGTACACCTGTTAGCGCTATATAAATAAAATATACATACACTGTATACCTACTGCACTTACTGTACCTCCCTCTACTGTAATGTAACCTGTAAAATGCTGTGTACACCTGTTAGCGCTATATAAATATAATGGCTGCCTTTCTACTGCACTTACTGGCTCCATCTGCTGTAGTAAACCTGTAAAAGAGTGCTTTAGTACATACTAACTTCATATAAATATAATATACATACACTGCACTTACTGTACCTCCCTCTACTGTAATGTAACCTGTAAAGTGCTGAGTACACCTGTTAGCGCTATATAAATATAATATACATACATTGTATACCTACTGCACTTACTGTACCTCCCTCTACTGTAATGTAACCTGTAACATGCTGAGTACACCTGTTAGCGCCATATAAATAAAATATACATACACTGTATACCTACTGCACTTACTGTACCTCCCTCTACTGTAATGTAACCTGTAAAGTGCTGAGTACACCTGTTAGCGCTATATAAATATAATATAAATACACTGTATACCTACTGCACTTACTGTACCTCCCTCTACTGTAATGTAACCTGTAAAGTGCTGAGTACCCCTGTTAGCGCTATATAAATAAACTATACATACACTGTATACCTACTGCACTTACTGTATCTCCCTCTACTGTAATATAACCTGTAAAGTGCTGAGTACACCTGCTAGCACCATATAAATATAATATACATACACTGTATACCTACTGCACTTACTGTACCTCCCTCTACTGTAATGTAACCTGTAAAGTGCTGAGTACACCTGTTAGTGTTATATAAATATAATATACATACACTGTATACCTAATGCACTTACTGTACCTCCCTTTACTGTAATGTAACCTGTAAAGTGCTGAGTACACCTGTTAGTGCTAAATAAATATAATATACATACACTGTATACCTACTGCACTTACTGTGCCTCCCTCTACTGTAATGTAACCTGTAAAGTGCTGAGTACACCTGCTAGCACCATATAAATATAATATACATACACTGTATACCTACTGCACTTACTGTACCTCCCTCTACTGTAATGTAACTTGTAAAGTGCTGAGTACACCTGTTAGCGCTATATAAATATAATATACATACACTGTATACCTACTGCAC